GTTACGTGGACCCCAAAAGTAGGTACAATAATACTGCAAGACCCCTAAGAACATCCCAACAGGCTATTATTCTACATACTATTGTTGGGGTTCAGGTACTTTCAAGCAAGCTTAGATCCTTAAAGTAGTCCCTAAATAACACATGATAGTAGTTTCCATTTACTTTTCCATTCCTTCATTCCTAGCTAACCAAAGGCCAGCTTCAAGCAAGCTTAGAAGAGCACTTGCAGAAACGAGGCTACAGCCATACAAATCGTGTCCGTGGGTTTCCCAAAACTAGGGGTAGCTTTTTGGGGGGCCCCAATAATGAGGCTCATAGTATATTGGGGTCCCCCTCTATTGGAAAACTACCATTTCTTAGCAATCTCACGAAGGTCAAAACGCGAAACGATGGTTTGGAAGTGGGTCAGTCGCATCCCAAACGCTGATTTTCGGAGTCCACACTTACTGCTCAAGTCCGAAACACTCTTATCAAGGCATTTTGCTGGCCAGCTGCTTTAAAACAAGGATGAATTCGAGTTTTTGGACAATGCAAGGGCCTTCAAGGCCCCACAGTGAGCAAAAGGGAGCTAAACCACTACTTGGGCCGCATGGGTCTAGAGTTTGGGGTTTAGGGTCTAGGGTGGAGGGTTTCAGGCCCAACTTGCTAACAGCTCAGCCTGCATTCTTCTAGTTGGGCTCCTTGAGAAAACATTTGCATGAAGACATGGCCGAAATTGCCGGAACCTCGGCAAGAAGCAGATCCTGTTGCCGATGAGCAGTGATTATGGATTCAGGCTTTCGTGTTTAAAAGGTTCAGGCTACACCTAGCCAGGGCAAAGCAAACCTTTATAATATGAGCTATAGTCTAGACTCCTAGGATTCCTCTTGATAAGAGCTCTAATTCTCCCCCATACAACCCTTTAAAGAGTTTAGACTATAGTTTGTATCCGACACTTCAAACAGCTTTGCACAGTTCATGCCTCGGCTCAAGTGAGCTAAGCATGCTGTCCTCAGAACAGACCCACCAGCAACGACGACACATAAGCTATAGTCTAAACTCCTGAAAGCGGGTTATATAGGGATTATATAGGGCTTAGGGTGTAGGGTTTAAGGTCTAAACTCCTTAAAGGGTGTTATATGAAGGGTTGCATAAGGGAGTATTGTAGGAGTTCCTCGCTAAGGGGATGCCAGGAGCTCAGACTGTAGCTCACATGCTTGTCGCAACTGATTCTATACCGCAGCTTGTGATTTTCATGCCACTATTACCATTCCCATTGCTATTGCCCTTGACAACTGCCATCACTATTGTTATCATTCTTGTTACCCCTGATATCATTATTCATAATTCTCACTACCAGTACTATTGCTCTTAGAATCTTTCAGCAGCTGGTGGAATTCCATGTGTCGGCCCAACATCCAGTCAGAAGCTTCAGAATGAGGCACAGCTGGAGCCCCAGCTTCATGTGGTTTGGGGTTAGGCATTGTACAAGTCCTGTTAATTATCAAGGGGATATAGGGTTACACAGGTATTGACAAGGATGTATAGGGACAAATACGTTTTAGGATTTAGGGTAGCCAAAATCGGGCCCCCTCTTTGAGATTGACTTTTGATACTGTAAGCATTGTAGTAGATATTGTGTTTATATTGAGCTTCTAGTCCTGGAACTCCCCATGTAATGTAAGAGCCAGCTGTTCCCTAACAATATCTTCGAATTATACTATACCGCTGCATTTATTTTAGCCTCCTGCGGCAAGCAGCCCATCAAATTCTTCGGTGGGCACGCGACTTAGGTCCCTACATGATTCCGTTTAATAGTTCCTATACAGCTGATTCCTTTATTCCTCACTACATACTATAGTCCCCCCTTAGTAGATAGACTTTATAATATACCTAAAGCCATATTCCATCTACTTAAAGGGACACTAACCACAAGTAAACAAATTAAACCCGAACAACACCGAGTGATCCTGAGAGAAAGGTGACAGGAAGCCTCAAGCTGGGATCAACAAGACACCAGCCGTGATCTGGGTTGCTGTTAAGGAATTTGAATTAGGTTACCATAGTGGGTATATATATATAATATAGTGATTCATATGGTTTCCCCAACATAGTAACTTTAGCTTGAATTAAGTTGCCTAATAGCAACCTGTGTTGTTTGGGGCAGCTTCAGAGGAGCCCCCCGCGTAAAGGGGCATGTATAGCATGGCGAATATGGACCTTGCACCCACTAATCGAGACCACAAAGTTTAATGGTACTTCGTCTAGCGGCTAGTATCTACAACATATTCCTGCTATACCACAATTAGTGGGTTGGGGGGGGACAACCTACTGCATGGCAGTCGGGCAGCCGTCTCTTTGCTGCCAGCATGCAAGCCTAGGCCAATTGGGGAGAGAAGGATCCAAGGGTTTCCCAGCCATGCCGAAGAGGTTCTACGATGACTACTCTGACATGTACCTGAAGAACAGTAGCCTGGCTGGGCGCAAGCAGCACATGAGCGGTCGCCGCCATATCAACAACAAGATCGAGTACTGGCAGATGCTGATTCGTGAGAAAGGTCTGACGCCTCCAATCTACCCTCCCCCTCCTGGAATGGTGCTTCCCATGCCCCGAATGGCTGCAAATCCACCCGCCGCTGGATCAATGTTAGGGATCCTTTCTGCTTTTGGGGGTATGGGGTTCCTCATGTTGATGTAAGAAGGATGCTTTTTCTTCCTAGGTTAATGTGGGCTAAGGTCGGAGGACCTGCTGGACTTCCCAAGCTTGGCGCGCTGCCAGGCATGCCAGGATTGCCAGGTATGCTGCCTGGACTTGGCCTTTCAGGATTGATGCCTGGACTGCCTGGAAATCTAGGATTGCCTGGCATGCCAAAGGCTGGTGCAGTACCAGGAATGGCCTAGCTGAACATGTGAGATTCTGAGGAAGGCAAAGTTGTGGGCCCATTTCTTGAGACAGATCCTGGAGGATAATTGGCGCAGCCGTTCTGAGCACAAGTGTATGTGTGTCATCTGAAAGCCGGTTTCCTATGAAGGCCACCTTGCTCAGCGGCAGAGCCTGGAGGGCAGAATTCACATGAGCTATCATCCAAACGCCTTACAGGGGGTTACATAGGGGAGTGTTATAGGGGTTATTAAGTGGGCTACTAGGAGTTTAGATTATTGCTCATGCAGAGGCTGCTGCATTGGATATTGCATACCAAACCGTAAACCCTGAACCCAGGCTCAGAGAAAGCCCAGGTTGCTGTTAATTCAGCCAGTATAACACGAGGAACTGGGTTGCTGTTACGAAACTTAGATTTAGTTACCAGATTATCCCCCCCATTATGGAGAATCAAAGGGAAAAGAACAGATGGAACATGACATGGAAACTGGGAGAACAGGGGTTTAAGGAACTTTAAATATGTTACCAGAATGGTTATGCATATAGTACTTAATATGGTTTCCCCAATATAATAACTTGAACCAAATTCTTTAACATCAACTCAGTTACAGGAGGAAGCATGATATGAAGATATGGCATATACAGGTTTCTTGCCCTATGCTACCTAATCGAAGTTCCCTGACAGCAACCGGGAAGCCCGGCTGAATTCTCAAAGCCGTGGAAGAAGATCTCCGATGGCTAGTTTTCATAGCAGATCTTGGTCTCGCGTAAGGTGAAATCGGAAATCATCGGCAATCAAGGCAAAATCGGATTCACCAGTCAGAACTGCTTTGTTGCTTTAGCACTGGTGCCAGCAAGCGCGAGAACAAGACAATCGACATCATTGCCGATTGCTGAGGGGTGGAACTGCTTCCAGGCCTACATCACTGATCCTGGACGCGTAGAAAGCTTGAGCATCCAACCAGCATTGTCCAGCAGCATTGCTGGTGACTGTTCGACCGTGACAGCTCAGAAGCCCGCCGTGTTGTACAGACTGAACTCGAGAAAGGCGCGTCAAAGCCAAGGACAATGACGCACATTTGTGCTGCTGATAATGAACCTGAAATAGTACCGTAACATATCGGAGGAACATTTCCCGAGGGACTCCCAAAGTGTCACTATCCATCAGCTTTCCCTGCTATGCAGCAACCGCAGACACGGGGGTAACAGGCTGGGAGATCCCCATTCTGGCTACAACTAGGGGTTCAGGGGCTTAGGATTTAGGGTTTAGTCCTTAGGGCATAGGATTCAAGGTTTAGGGTTTGGGGCTTAGGGTTTAGGGTTTAGAGATGTGCCCCTTAAACCGCCTACGCCCTAAGCTGGCAATGTTTGCCAAGCTTTCGCACAGTCATGGTGCTCCTCAAGTAGATGGAACATGGGGTATATGGGGATCTTTTTATAGTATTTGGGAATTCCATATTCTATAACACGGACTGCATGGATCTGTTGAATTCTTATGGACCCCGTCAAGGGCTCCATGCTTGCTCAGCTTACTGTATAAGACTCAAAGTATTTCTGTTACGCTTCGAAAATGACGAGGGTATAAAATGCCCCAAACGCAAACGCTGTTGTAAATAGATAGGCTCGGCAGGACCCCCCTTTGCTCCATTGACTAAAAGTTACTCGGCGTGCCCTTAATGCTAAATCCCTTTTATTCCGCAGGGCTACGGTCACAGCCCCTCGCGCACTGATTGCTGCAGAGAGTCTCTGGTAGACCCAATTGCATTGCGCTGTGGTTTCGTTGACAGCTTTATTCGACGCCTGTCTTCATCAGGTCAATGTCATCTGCAGCTTGATTGCCATCGTCGTGGCCTCAGCCAAACCTCCTTGACCAAAACCCATTGTCGGTGAAGTCGGACTTTAGGAATGGAAAAAAATTCGGGCTGCTGAGGAAGAGTTGTGGTATGAATTAGGTGTACCCCCCCACCCAGAAATAGTGTCAGAAATATAAAGGATTTATTAGGGTCCTCATATATTGCTATTTTACCACTATTACAGCCTGGGCCCCCCTAAGGTAAGTGGCCTCAACCCCTAAACCCTTAAACCCTAAAACCCTTAACCCGGTGGTATGTATGTGGTTAGCCCAATCGAGTAGGCCGTAAATGTAACTCCTACCTTGGCTCTGAAGTCCCATCAAGTTCATGACGCTGCCTGCAATTCTCCTCCTCACCATGTAAGCCATCATCTAAACTCCTTAAAGAGGGGTTCATTAAGGATTACATAGGGTTTAGGGGATTCCGGTGTCTCAGTGAGGGGGTGCGCT